TTTCATGAGTCTGCTATTGTGGCATATATTAAAGGGAAGTGCTAAATACTAGCTTTCTTCCTTCTTTTCTTCTTTCCTCTCCTTTTCTTTTCGGACTCACATCAGGCACATCTTTTGCTTGGCTGGTGTTTCCCAAATAGAACCTGAGTACTGCCCCAGTTTATTGCTCTTTCCTTCTCTATTTCAGAGTAATAAGATTTTTCCAATTGTGGGGCATTGTGGTTAATGGATTTTTTTTTTTTTTTTGTATTTTGCAATAACAACAAAACCTGGATTTTTCTAGCTTTTAATTCTAGTGGGCAGATTTTCTCTGACATTTTGATCTGATATCCTACTGTTGTCACAGAGACACTAGTAATTATTTCCTGTTTAATTAGGTAGTGCTTCTCCAGCCTGACTTAGCAGTTGGTGGATTTTTTTTTTTTTAAACTCCTCCCCAGATACGGCAGTCTAGATCTCTGGAAGAGTACTGTTCTTCTCTCTGCCTTCCTTAGGCAAGGAATTGTTTCACAACTGATGATTTCAAAGGTATGTGAGGAGATCTCATAAAACTGTCAGGGGTACCTAATCTTCATCCTCTGCAAGAAACCCTTGTGTCACTACAATCAGAATGATCTCTTTTTTAATTTTTTTTTAATAGCAAGATTAACAAAGACAATTGATATTCTTACTTGTGACAACACCTTCAGTGCTAAAAACCCAAATGGGAAAGAATGCAAAGTGATAACTTATTCAGATGGTCGACTTCAAGTCATGTTTTCTTAAGTGACAGTTTATGCCCTTAAGGCGTTGGTAGTGTGCTGTTCTTGAAGGCATTGGCAGCTTGCATTAAATCAGATTTTGTTCCTCCTTTCTGGCTTTCGTGAGCTGCGGCTGATACTGGTCCAGAGAATGGACCAGCTGGCCAGAGTCCCACTGCCTCTGATGTTGAAGAAAGGAAGCAATGCCTAAGGTGAAGGTGTAAAGACACAACCTTTATTCTGTCCTGCCCACAATTCTTAACGGTTCTTGTGAGAATATGACATTAAAGAAGAAATCCCTTTGTGATGGGAGGGGGCCGAATCAGCTGTGAGGTGTGGAGAGTACAGGTTTGGCAAGGCTACCTGCTGTTCAAACTCTGCTCTTTTGGCTGGGATTTTACATGTCCTGCTCCAGGTGTGTCTAGAGATTTGCCTGTCTACTATTGATAGTTTTTTGGCATCACCATCCCGTAAGACTTTATGATGAGTATCCTCACATATTTTAATTAGTTTTGTTCCGAAATTGTCACTAGCTCCTACCCACCTCCTTTTTTGGCTTTAGTTGCCGTAACACTCTGCAGAGCATAGAGACCTATGGAGCCATAGTTGGAGAAACAAATTCTTGACAGCTGGACACAGTATTGTTAAAAATAAAATTAAATTAAACGTTACCAACCATTTTTTGTTGGACTAGCAATGTCCCTGAAGCCTGTGAAATTTTTCCAGCTTAGCTTGCACATCCCAACTGCATGCAGGATCTCCTTACTTGTATTGACTACAGTTGTGTCTCATTGATTATCTTCCTGCACAAGTTGCCCCAAAACAGGTCTCTAAGTATTAACAAGACTCCCCGATGATCTCAGTTAAAGCTTCAGTAATTTTTCTTGTTAATCTTGGAGGTTAAAAAATGCTGAACTTTGATTCATGAACATCTTGCCTCTGTGTTTGATTCTTGCTATGCAAATAATGTGTTGGGAAAAGAAATAAGGAATAAAAATCCTAGCTTATGCTTCAGTGGTGCCACTTTCTCATGTGTTGTCTCCATTCTCTGGCACAGATAAAAGGAACTCCTATTTTTGCTGTTAGTAATGTGTAATGTCTTTAGTATCTTTGTTCCACCATAAAGTGATGAGTGGAGACTCTGCTGCCATCAGTGGGGTAGGCAAATTATGACTTACAGGGAAGGCAGCCAAAGAAAATTCATTTTTTAACTGATCTTTCCACAGTCTGTTTATCAGGTTTTGAACTGTTCTTTGATTTTTATTTGATTTCTGTGGATCTATACATAACCACCTGCCTGCATATTATTGGCAAATACCAGTACTCCCAGTATTGCAGAACAGCATTGCCACATCAAGGAGCAGTGAGAGGTTTCAGATTGACTGTGCTAGGAATGACCTGGGTAGCTCTCTAAACATAGGAACACACACTGCATTTATTTCCAGACTGTATTACTGGCTATGTTGTAGAGTCTTAGGGGATTTTTTTTTCCCTCCACTTGCAGTACCAGAACCAGCTCTCAACCTGCTATGTCAAGACTCAATACCTTATAGTGTTTGGTGAGTCTCATGTCCAGTCAATAAAAGGTGCGAGCCCTTGAGCTCCTAAAGTGACTTAAATGAGACGGTTAGCAGCTTAAAATATGGGCACCTATCTGCTTCATTACATTCTGTGATTTCTGGCCCTTTTTTATTTGAAAGTGGATGGCAGAAAAAGCAAAAGCAGGACTGGTCTCACGTTCTGTGCCCTGTGAAGGGGGTAGAGCGGACATGGCGTTCAGTGCAGTGGTGGTCCAGCACAGTGCAGCCCTGGATACAAAGACTCCGCTGGGAGGAAGAGAGGCTGTAGCTGAGCATCCTTCAGGAGCTGCCGCTTTGGTGCTGGGGAGTAGTTTTGCTGCCCTCTCACTATAGCTGGGTTTGGGGGCACGGAAGTATCCTGAAAGTATGGGGCAAATGGCTCCCTGGTTTTCAGTTAGTAGTCAAATGCAACAGTTCTACAAGATAAAACATTATTATCATAAATTATGTTGCTTTTTAATGGCTTTTAAAATATTTAGCTGCTTTGATTGCTCAGTAGAACGTAGGCTTCGTCATGACAGAGCCCTGTACTGAATGCAGTTAAGCTGCTGAGTAATTGCTGCTGAAGTTGGCCACAGAGCTGCTGTGTATGTGAGGGGAATGCTTTCAAATTCCTTTGTTGCTGACTTGTTTTTTTTCACACCCTTGCTGCAAGGAGAGGATGCTCTCTCTGGTGGAGAGTAAGGACCAAGGGGCACGTAGTAGAATGTGCAGGAAGCATTACATCGCTCTCATGGGAGTCTTGGAAGCAGTCACACACGCTGCTGCGTACAGCCCTTGGTCCTCCCTGGGCCCTGCTTGTCTGCTGTGAGGTTCGTGTATGTTTTAAGTGCTTTGCAGTCAGTATCTCAGTGGCTGGTTTGTTGTTAAATTTTGTCACATAAGTTCGGCATGGTTGAGGACCTGTGTAATTTAGGACTGTGGTGTGGCAGCGTAGAGTTGCTTGAGCATGCTTAAAGCTTCAGATCTCGGTACAAAGTAGGTGCCTAGTGGGTTGTGGGTTTTTTGAGATAGCTTGCTTTGTTATCAGAAAACAAATCAGGATGAGAAGTTTTGTTGGAAGAGTGCTTCCTACAAACGTGTACTGGAGAAGAGCATGCCTGATGGATGAGGGAAAGGCTGTGGATATTGTTTACCTTGACGTCCGTAAAGCCTTCGACACTGTTTTCCACGGAATTCTAGTGAAGAAACTGGCTGCTCATGGCTTGGATGAGCATATGCTCTGCTGGGTAAAACTGGCTGGATGACCAGGCCCAGACAGTGGTGATCAATGGAGTTAAATCCAGCTGATGGCTGGTCACAAGTGGTGTTCCACAGGGGTCAGTACTAGGGCCTCTTCTGCTTAACGTATTTATCAGTGATCTCAATGAAGGGATAGAATGCATCCTTGGTAAGTTTGCAGATGTCAAGAAGTTAGGGGGGAGCGTTGATCTGCTCGAGGGTAGGAAGGCTCTGCAGAGGGATCTGGACAGGCTGGGTCAATGAGCCAAGGCCAACTGTATGAGGTTCAACAAGGCCAAGTGCCGGGTCCTGCCTTTGGGCACTTGGGCCACAACCACCCCATGCAATGCTACAGGCTTGGGGAAGGGTGGCTGGAAAGCCGCCCAGCAGAAAAGGACCTGGGGGTGCTGATTGACAAGCATCTGAATATGAGTCAGCAGTGTGCCCAGCTGGCCAAAAAAGCCAATGGCATCCTGGCTTGTATTAGGAATAGTGTGGCCAGCAGGAGTAGGAGGGTGACCGTCCCCCTGTTCTCGGCTTTGGTGAGGCCGCACCTCGAGTATGGTGTTCAGTTTTGGGTGCCTCAATATAAGAAAGACATTGAGGTGCTGGAGAGTATAGAGAAGGGCAACGAGGCTGGTGAGAGGCCTAGAGAAAGTCTTATGAAGAGTGACTGAGGGAACTGGGGCTATTTAGTCTCAGGAAAAGGAGGCTGAGGGGAGGCCTTGTTGCTCTCTACAGCTACCTGAAAGGACATTGTAGAGAGGTAGGTGCTGGTCTCTTCTTACAGGTAATTTATGATGGAACAAGAGGGAATGGACTCAAGCTGCACCAGGGTAGGTATAGGCTAGATATTAGGAAAAACTTATTCACTGAAAGTGTTGTCAGACATTGGAATAGACTGCCCAGGGAGGTGGTTGAGTCACCATCCCTTAATGTGTTTAAAGGTCTTTTAGATGTGGTGCTTGGAGTTATGGTTTAGGGGTGTACTTGATAGAGTAGGGTTGATGGTTGGGCTTGATGATCTCAAAAGTCTTTTCCAACCTGAATGATTGTATTCTATTCTGTGCTATCTACAGAATTCTTGCTGCTTGGTTCACTGTTATTAGGCACAGGTGTGGATTGTTTTAAGTAAGTGTTTTGGATATAGCAACTCGATAATGGTGCTTATCTAATGGAAATATATGTTGTAAGCCCAATAAAAATAAATGCGTTATTTGAAAAAAAAAATTCTAACCTTCCATGAAACATAAACAAGATGTTTTAGTTTATTGGCTCCTCCTGACATTGTTTTTGCTTATAAAAAAACCCAAACCAACAAGTGGTTTTACTGTTTCAGACTTGTGTTTCTCAGTTTCTCATTGACTTTGTGTTGTCAGAATGTTGAATTGAGAATGCAGAGCTGGTTGCTGTGTTCTGATCTCTAATCTTTTTTTCCTTTTTTTTTTTTTAGGCTCGAAATGTCAACACGGGTGAGCTAGCAGCGATTAAAGTAATAAAACTAGAACCAGGTAAGTGTTTCTTAACTGAAATAGGCTACAGAAACTAAATAGTTTTATGCTTGAGATACAGTTGTACAAAATCAATTGAGTCCACTTATTGAAAGAAGGGATAATTGTTGCCTTGTAGTGTAGGACAAAATACACTGTTCTAAAAAATAATAAGCATGATGAGCAAGATGTCAGAGGAAAAAATGTAACTGGAGAACAGTTAAAGGAAGGATGATTGAAATTTTGGTGAGAGTTGGGGTTATTTTTGTCTTAAGTACTATGTTTTCAACCCATGTGATACAAAACACTGAACAAAAGAAATTAGTAGGACAGCAGGGCAGAAAAGAACTGACCTGGAGAGAGTGTAGAAGGAGAGATAAAAAGAAGGAAGAGTGAAATAATAGGTGAGCGTTAGTATCTGGGAATCAAGTAAATTTCCTGAAGTTCTCTTGGGGACTCTGATTAGGACTTCGCTGTGTGCTAGACTGATGCTGGAATGGTGCTTGTGTTGGTTTCACAAAGTCCATGGGCCTACAGATCAGTTATCAGCCTGCAAGTGCTGTTTCATTAGTGTGTCTGGACTCGTTGAACAAGAGAAGAGTAATGTGGGAAATGAAATGTCCAGAGGTTTTGTTTAACTCATTGGTTTCCCTTTCAAGATTTAATGTGGGGGAGGGGGGTAATATTTTACCAGCTACTTGGTTTGATCCTTGAGGTCTATTTGGGCAAGAAGGGAAAAGTGGTTGCTACTTTCTTCCATTTTTTTCCTCTTACAATTCTGGAAGCGATTAGAAATGTGGTGTTTATATACTGCACGGACATTTAAAAAAAAAAATCAAGGCAGGACAGTAAGTTACTGTGTAGTTCCAAAAGTGTGTGTTCATCATACTTCTTTTATTCACACTGGAAGTTGTGGTCTCAGATGATCTTGTCTAGTTCTGCTGCTTTGGCTTTTTATGTCCATTCCTGTTGCTGGAGTACATGGCTGTGCATGTGGGTTACCAGTGCAGCTCAGACGAGCAGCTGTGCTGTGCCTCCCCGTGGAACTGACGATAAAACAGGGAAGGAGTCTTGGATAGTGGGGAAAGAGCCACAGGACTCGGCAGACTCAGACGATGCCAGCCTTTAAAATAGGTGGTATTTTAGCAGGGCCCAAAGAATCATGCTGCGGGAGTTCTCTGAGCTGCAGGCAGAGCCTGGGGGTGCGCTGCAGCTGGGGTAACTCGCCCTCGTGCTGTGCCCATGGGGCGACCAACTGGCATCTTGGAGCTGAATCGGGTATTTTGGGCGGCCTTTGGGTACCTGAGTGGTGCACAGAGAATGTGCTTCAGCTCCCCTCGCTTTGCTAGGGAGCTCAGGTTCTGTCAACAGTTGTTGCTTCCAGTTGCAGTTGAGGCAATGTCCACAGTCCAGAAGCACGGCACTGGCCTTCTTTGCAAGTGTTTCAGATTGGGGAGAGTGTGAAGACTAAGGGTCAATAATGTTTAGGCACTTACCCTAAAGCTTATGGTACTTCAGTACTTTGGATGCGATGAAAACACTGGTCAAACACTGGAGGAATCGTGTTCTTTCACAGAGATACCTCTCTGTATGTGAAAATAATTTCTTGTTTGCTCTCCAGTGTTTGCATGTTTAAACATCTAGCCAGGATACAACAAGCCATCAGCAATGCAGCATGGATAGCAGACAGTCTGTTGTGATGTTAACTTGCAGGTTGTGGTTTGAAATATGCTTTCAGTTAAGTAAAATACCCATGAATATCGGATTTGTGGTTAAAAAGAACCAAATGGATAGGTCACCAGTATGTTAATGTATTGGGAGAAACTTAAAACATTTTCCTAGGTAATATTGCCTTGGCTGTTTCTTTTGGAATTTGTTGTGTTACATTTGACATTTATTAACAGCCATACCTGGGAAGCGATTTTGGGTTGCGACAATTCATAAATAAGACAATAGTTTTGTCTTTTGGTTTAAAATCTCTTTTGAGTTACGCTGAAGTGTGCTACAGCAGTACACTAGAAGGAGAATTTTTACATACTTTGAATTTTCCTATTTTTTTCAGCTCACTTATGGAGTCAAGTTATTCATGAAGTTAAATGTTTCTTTTAGGCCTTCAGGCTTCTTTTACCTATGAAGTCCTTGAAGCTAGTAAGAATGAGTTGGTTTTTGTGAGCTGTGCGTGTCTAGTAACTAAAGAAGGAACTTCTTTAGAAATAACGTACCAACCTAACTATAATCTGCCCTTATAACTTAGGAAATTTCAGAGGAGCCCCAGTGTAAGATACTGAATGGCAAAAGAGCACTTGATGTGTGTTTCTTCAAAAAACATTAATGAAAAAGGCTGTTGAATACCTGTTACCCACATTCTCTTACATCCTGATGTCTTTCTTGCCTTCCCTCTTTAACTTGCCTGCAGAACCCCTGCACAACACCCCCAAAACAAGAACATCTCTGTTGGGTTTTCAGTTTCATACATGATTTTCTCAGTGTACACACCTGGTAAGGACCTGTTATAGAAAGACAGGGGCAACCAGGGTACCAAACAGTAAGTCTCAGATAAATGCCATGACATCTATGTCAGTATTTTATCTGGGCATAGGTTATACACAGTCCATAAATGTCTGTGATGACCGAGTTTCCTGAAAGGTTACAGCAGCATCAGGTTATTGAATGTTTTTTGCTCAGGAAGATGATCTAATGAGTGTTGGACATGCAGCCAAAAATACCAATGTTTTGTCATGGTTTTAAGAACCTGGGCTATTGGCAGGCTATATGTAGATGGATGCAGTGGGGACTTGGGGAAAAATCTTTAGAAAGAGCTATGGCCCATATCATAAGAGAGATCAGACGGCAGATGTGATGTGCATCTGGTCCAGAATGAAACTTCTTAAGAATACAGTTAGTTATTGCTAAGCCCGTGCTAATAAATACTGATTTACAGCTGCTTTATATGTCTGTGAAACTGGCAGATAATTAGTTTTAATTAATCAAAATGTTTGTTTTATAAACATGTACTGAAAGTGTGGTTGAGATGTGGGTATGAACCAGGCCAATGTAAATACTCATTCTTCTGCTTTTCAGGAGAAGATTTTGCTGTTGTGCAGCAGGAAATCATTATGATGAAAGACTGTAAACATCCAAACATTGTTGCTTATTTTGGCAGCTATCTCAGGTACAGTTTGTTTCTTTTGCTCATTTACTATCTTCTTGTAAAGAACAGTTCTATAAGGTGACTTAGGCAAAGCATAATTTACCAAATAAGTTTTATCCACTTGTATATTATTTTTTTCATTTACCTTAAAGTCTGTTCTGTTATTACAGTGTCTAGTTATAGAGATATAACTAATGTTTCTCTTAGCAAAATCCTTCGGTGACCGCGTAATCATGTTTCCTTGGAAATTAGTTGTCATTTAAAAGCTTTGAATGTAATACATAAATGGAAAATTAAGCAGAAATGTGACAAATATGGAGAAAGAGGATGTGTATGTAGCAGCTTTTAAGTCTGTTTTGGTAAAATGTCTCTTAAATTTGCAAAACTTTGCGAAGTATAAATATTGTGTAATACAGGTGGAGTTTTCAGAAATGTTCTGACTTAACTGGTGTTGGTGTGTCAAATTGTCTGAGAACTCAAAATTGAATGTTATGGGGAAATAAGGAGCAAAAAATTCTTTTTTTCCTTGTGTAAGAGAAGTAGTGCTGTGTTAAGCTTTAAAGACAATTTCATGCTGAAGTACCTGTGAGTGTAAACCATGCGGCCTTTAAGAAGCTCACTGGTGATTGTGTTCTGGATTTGTTTTGAAACTAAAAATGATCAATATTTCCGCTCTTTTATCTTTGCTTTTCTCTCTTGAGCTGCAGAGTTGTTTAGGACACTTGATGTAGTATATGTAAACTGTTCTGGCGCATTATTCTGTGTAATTCCTTTTGTAAGATACTATGCTTACTTGTTACAAGTACAGCGAACTTGTACTCCATACAAAGTCTGAGTGTTGACAAAATTGATGGCTAGTTTCCAATAATGTTTGCTATTATAATTCTTTTTAATATATCCAGACAAACATTTTGTGCTAGATACACCAATTGCTTGATATTCCAGGCCTATTCCTTTTAATGCTGGATTTTGTGACCTAATGTTATCATAATTTTAAGCATATCATGCAATGTAATAAAGCTTTTAAGAGGTTCTGAAAAGTTGTGATGCTCTTTACAGGAGAGTCTTCAGGTACTCGCGTATCTTCTGTTTGCTTGGGGAGGTGGGACATGGTAGCTCTGTGTGTTGTGAAGGTTTCTAGACCCTATTCATAATGGAAAGGTGCCAAGTGGAGCTGAAATTTTCCATAATGGCTATCTGCTGTAGCCAAAAGCTGTTCAGCAATATTGGCCAAGTGCTTTTGGCCTGGGGATGGGAAGGTGTAGGTGGCATTTTCACATGAAAAATCTTGGTATATGAAAGCCTTTCAACAAAAAATTACATCTTGGAAGGAGGAATATATGACAGAATTTGGCTCTTGTGTTTGGAGTGCATCTTTTCCTTTTAAAAATCGTTTCAAATGTGACCAAGTTATCTTCTGAAATACTGCATTTCTTTTACTTTCATTCTAGATCAACTAGATTTTTAGGAAATCCCAGTTACTATTTCTTTTCTAGCTAGCAGTGCCTGGTTTGCTGCATGTTTGCAGTGCTACGGAAGAGCTAACATGCTCCCTGGCTTCTTTGGCCATTGTTGAGCGTTCCTTGTTTTGCTCTGGGGGGAGCTGGGACAGTATGTTAAAATAGCACATGTGGAGGGCCTTGTGGTGCTCTTAGTGACCTTGATGCTGAATGCCTGCATAGTTGGATCAAACTGAAATTTGACAAGTTGAGGTGCCAGAACTTGGAGGTAGTATTGGGGAAGAGAGAAAGTCCTGGCAGTAAATGCTAGAGCAGAAGGACAGATCTCATGCAGAAGCTCAGCTGACTAATGCTGTCTTGAGGAGTTTCTTCTCCCTGCCTCTTGTATTCAGCATCCTAAATAGCCCTGGACACTCACTGAAACTGTGTTTTATCACTGGTGAGGTTCATTGAATCTTTCTTGTTTTTCTTGTTAGGTTTTGTCTGAGGAGTGAAAGTGTTGCATGCTGACAGATGTGATTCAAGTCAATAGAATCTCTTTTTGAATTATATTTGCTTTATAGTAATTTCAAAGGTCTGTAGTGGGAAAGCTGGTCATTTTAGTACTTCACAAACACAGTTTAGTGTGGAGCGTGAAGGAAGTTTGCAAGAGTAATTGTATTTTCAGAATAACGTTAAGTGGAAGTGTGCTGGAAGTATGAGAACAAAGAGGAAAGCAAACTGTTGGCTAGCCCATTAGATGAGCACCATCTGCCCACTGCACTGGGCAGGGCTGGGAGTGTGTGATTGTGTACAGCTTGTATTATCATGTAGACATGTGCAAGAAGGGATCAAAGTCTGAAGATAAAATCAATAAGCCATGCTGTTCTGGCATCCCATACCTTGAAGGGTGTTTGACTTGGCAGCCTGAATGCCTTTTGAACGCTGAGCTGGTCTGTGAGCTGTTACACACAAGTTTGTGTGGGTGTGCATGCAGATAGAGTGTGCGTACATGTAGGGACTTGGTATTCCAAACTAGGAGCGTCTGCACTTCAGTTCTGAATGTTTAAGGTTAATTTGAAGGTTAACCTAAATTGTTTGTAACTTCTGTTCTGTGCAGTGCTGGCAGGCTTTTTTCTTATGAATGAAGAGTCAGTGCTTAATACTGCTACGTACCTTGAAGTCATGTTAAATTTTTTTTGAGAATTTGTGAAGTTACTAGTCTGTTTGAAAGCAGCTTACAGATTGTCAGGTGGTAAAGTTGGCAAGGGATCTTGTGATCTCCCAAAGGCGGTGTTTGGAAACTCCCTGTCATCGTAACTAAGCTTCTTAAATGGATGTTGCATGTTTGAAAGTTGTGTGACTGGGACCACATAGTCCTTCACCCTCCTGTCACAACTCATTAATCTTCCTACCAGACTCAAAGCCTGCCTTTGGGAAGAGAGCACCTTTTTGTACATTAAGATGTCCTCCACTGCACGTGATGACTGTTTGTAGCTGTCTGCAGTACTGGGAAGGAAGTTGTGTTGAAATTTTTCTTGATGTGTGACATTGCCTGGTGTGCTCTACAAACCCTAAAGTCATTGTTACAAACCTTTTCAGAAGACAAGTTTAGAAGAAAGAAGTAAGTGAGAAATGGCAGAGGGGAGGGGTGGGGCTCTGCAGTACTGTTTTTCTCACATACGAGCTTCTGACCAGAATGTGATGGTTCCATTTGTGTTTGTTTCTGGAGGTGAGATTATTTGCATTGTAGAAGCACTGACAAATGTATGCAGTTGTCTTACCAACTGCTTCTTTTAACTAGTCATAGTGGGAACAGACAGCTTAGTATAACTAATAAAAAGCTGTTTCCCATGACTTTTTTTAAGATTTCATATGAAAACAGACTGTGAACAAATACTGTTGTTGAATGCAACTTTCTTTAGATTGACTGATACTTTTAGATTGCCACATTTTTAGATTGAAATGGTGTCTTTTCTCATGATGCTGTATTCAGGCTGGGGGTGCTTTTCTTTAAAAAGACAGTTTTCGTCTTGTTTCAGAATATCAAAATACGCCTTTGTAGACCCAGAATTAAATTGTTGCAAATACAGTACATATTTTGGTACTGTCTTGTGCTCTTGCTTGATCCCCATCCCTTTCTTTGGTATAGTGCTTCTCTCTTGTCTCGGCAATTGAATGGCTGTCTTTGAGGCCTCTCGTTTGACCTTTTGTTTTCCAAGTATCTTTCAATGTTAAGAACAATAAGAAAAATACCATCATCCTGTACTTGGCACTTATCAAGCCTATCGTTCCCCATGCTTTTCTTCAATATAGGTGTTTTACAGTCGAATTTCTGCCTTGCTGTTAGCCTAGGTGTTAAGTTGCACACACTAAATGGTACTGTTGATCCTGTCTCTGTTTTGTTTTCTGCTCTTGCCTTATGATCTGCAGACACAGACACCTGTGTACACTGTTACTGTTGATTACACGGATCTTCACCTGTCTCAAAGCACTTAGGCACAGTAATAAAAGGCTAGATAGCGAATTAGAAATGTTGTCTCCTCTTTTGATCCTCTTACGTTTTTTTCCTTTTCTGTAGGGCTTTTCCACACTGGGAAGTTAATGCCCAGTAAGCGAAGGTGTGAATTTACAGCACTTACCTACTTCATGTCTCTTACTTTATGGGTGCTCTGCTGCTGTCCCAAGGCTGCTGGGGTTGTCCTGGCTCTTTCCCACTTCCACGCTGCTGCTGCTCTTGGCATCAAACAGGATGCAGCCACATGGGAAGGAGTGGTTTTTGTAAGCTCAGGGCTGCCAAAAGTGTCCCTGTCTGAGCCTTGCGTCATTGTGGGGAATAAACAAGGGACTTACAGGTGTCTGTCTGCTTCTGTCTCACTCGTGTTCCCCTGCTGCCATTGCTAATTGTGTTTTCTTTCACAGGTAGTCACGTTGCTTCTGTGTCTGACTTTGATCTGTTATTTCAGTGGAAAGCCTTCATGTTATTTCAAGCAGTGCTTTAATTAACTCCTAGAAATGCATGGAGTTAACAGCCAGTGACTTCTATGGCATAAAACCTCTGTAATTCCAGAGCAATAACTTTCCTACCACTAGAGGAAGCAGATGGGGTATAGATTTGAGGACCATGTGGGCTATGGACATAAAAGGGGAGGAGATCCAAGAAAGATTCTTGTTCTTCATTGGAACAGCTGCTATTCTAACTTTTTATCTGCTGGTGAGAAGTACTTGCAATTTTCAGCTCAGGGCATAAGCTCAGCATTACACCATTGCATTGCAAAATACTTCCACAAATGTTGGCATTGCCTACAGAAGCGTCTCAGCTATTCTAATAGAGCCTTATGAATGCAAGAAACCCAAGACCAGGGGTCATGGACAAGCTGCAGAACAATCATCAGTCTTTCCTTTGGTTGCCCTGTGTCCCAGTTTGCCCTAAGGTGGTTGTGTGCAATTTTTCTTCCCTGTGTGTTTTGATGGAGAGGAATGATTAGGCAAGTCCCAGATTTTATGCTCTCCAAAATGCCTTTCTGCGGCCACACATGGTAGATCTGTCTTACCAGTGAAAATTACTAAGTGAAAATAATATTTAGTGCCCATAATAGAAGATACCTTTGAATCCTTCAGCTCGTTGTCTATTCCTGGAAAGCACCTTTTATGGAGGTGTAGTGAGTCAAACTGTAATGATTCCCTTAGCAAGAGGAATCTAAAAATCTTCCCTCTGACCCCTGCCAGTAAAAATATCCGTAGGTATTTTTGAGGAAAAAACTTCATCTGAGAAGGCACTTGGCCACAGCATGGGCTCCACTCCACCTAGCCTTGACTGAAGCACTCCGTTTGTTGTGAAAGAGTTGAGAGATAACCCTAGGGGTTTTTGGTTTGGCTTAGGTATTTTTGGTTGTTGTTTGTGTTAATTCCTCTGCTCTGAAAAAAGCGAAGAAATGAAAATGAGGAAGAAATAAGAACACGCATCTATTTTTCTCTCTACTCTCAGTAAAAATATATTTCGTTTTCATAGTACATCTTGAACAAAAATTAGTGTGTGCATTTCACTAATACTATTTCTATTACTCCAATAAACCCTGGCTTAATTTTGGTATTTCATTAGTGACTATTTTGACAGTGAAGTATCACGTAGAGATTAAATCATATTCATTATCTGACTTGTACTTTTCATAATACAGAGCTTATTATGTTGTGCTTTATAATGTCTGAGTCCTCTGACTTATCTTTTATAGGTGCTGTTTTCAAACCTGACAGCTAATGAATGGTTTTGTTCACTTTTTAGACGAGACAAGCTGTGGATTTGCATGGAGTTTTGTGGAGGTGGCTCTCTACAGGATATTTATCATGGTACGTCAAGACTGTAATTCCTTAAAATCTAAGTAAAACTTACTTTCAAAAATGGAGATGATTACAGTGTTTTGGAATCAGAGAGGAGGAATCCTAAATTTAGTATCCGTAATAATCCACTGAAGGTCAATTTTAGTTTATGTATTTACATAATTGGTTGGGTTTAGTTTTTCTAAACAAAATTAGCTATAGCGGGTTTTTATAGCAGCAGAAGTTATTTCCTTCCTTCAGTAGCTCACCCATCACTACTTTCCAAAGACTGTAAAATTAGATAATATTGTATTTTTAAAATGAATTTATATCCTGATGTACTCTCTTACTTCATAGCTGTTTTGTTTCTGAGCTTTTGAACTTTGCTTTAGTATAATCTATATCACTGCCTACAGATACCTTACATAAGTGGATTGAATGGCATAGATGCTCTTGTCTTTTGTAAATAGTGATCTTTTGTATGTTTCTGTAGCAGTAGTGCCATGAGGGTTGTCTTTTTTTTTTTTTCTTTTTTTTTTTTTTTTAATACTGGATGCATGACATTTAAAAAGCAAAGGTGGCCTATGTATTTGCTTTAGGCTTAGGTGCGATGAGTGGCCAGAGAAACAAGGGTTGTGTATGAATCTATTGCATAAATAGAGCATCAGTCAGTTGGTTGCTAGTTTCAAGGGACAAAATCAGTTCTGAGGGATTTTATTGCCTTGGAATTAAGACTTGCTTAGGAAAGGAGCATGCCATAAGTGAGTAATGGCTTTGTGGTTCTCTGGTGGTGGTTTTCAGAAAGGAAATCCATCCATATTCTAAATTGTGAAGATTTTATGTTAGGATCTTCACATCCTTCTCTTGTGCATAAACAGCTTGTGCGTAAACTACCTTTTTACGTGTAGCTTGGGTACAATTACAACGAGGCACCAATTCACAAGTTCACACCATGCTCATGGCCTTGCCATTTGAGCATGGCCTTGTTGATCCTTTACATCTCTCCTAGTGTTGATAAAAGCATTGTGTCTGATAGGCTTTATGTGGAACACGTGTCGAGTGGGAAATGAGCTCATGCCCCATGAATGCCTGAACGGATGTTGTACAGGAGCCCGTTTTCTGTTGCAGCTGATTTTTTGCTTCTCTGCCAGTAGAGTGAAAGGTTCTTTTCTGATCATAATTATGTTCCAAAAGGTCTTATTCCTATTGAGCTATAGGCATCCGTAATCTTAAGTCATTGAAGTTAATCAGTTAAATTTCTCAAAATGTACATATTTCTAGGCATATATGTTTTCTGTGTGCTAATACATTTAGTTTTATGTGGGTTTGGAACTTTTCTTGCAGAAAAGGGAAGATGGATCCAGACTCGTTTTGAAGAGTTATATATATATATTGCATTATATTAGCTTGCAGCTAGGTGTTTAAATCTTGTTTAGTTTTTAACTCCCTACTCCTTCACTTTCCTTTGAGAAACCCCATCCAATTTTCTTTTTGTTTTCTCTGCAAAACCTGAGAAGCTTGCAGCAAGGGCTGCATTTCCTGGTCTTATTTAACCCTTTAATTTCAGGATCAAAGTCCAATGACTGGGGAGAAGTCACAGGCCATTGGTTGCTTGCTGTTCAGTTTTTGGTTTACGTATTTGTTCAGAATTTAATTGTTGTCCTTTAAGAGATTTGGGTGAAGTGGGACCCTGGAGGAAGAGGAAGACTCCTCCTTCCCTTGGGAAGCTGCTGAGCTCACTCAGAGGCAGAGTTTGAGAAGGTGCCCAGGAGCAGCAGTGCTGGTGGCTCATGCAGAAAAGGGTTAAGAAGCTGCAGAGAGCAGGTCACCTGGCTGCAGGCAGGAGAAAGCAGGTTGCATGGCAGTGACAAGGACTGGAGGAGACAGCAGGTTGCAAAGGGTAGCTTCCTAGGGCTCAAAGGGAACTGAGTGGAGTTTGCTGTAGCTCTTGGTCACTGGGTTGGAGGTCCAGCCCTGCACAGGACAGAATGGGTTTGTGCAGGGAAGAGATGTGCTTAACCCACTTGCTTCTGTTTCTTTTTCCTCTTAACTACTTTGAGATTTATATATGAAGGGAGTTAGTAGTTTCCATTCCAATGGGACTAGACATTTTTGAGTTTAAAAAATGTTTGGTGGACTTCAGGAAGCTCAATCTGGGGGAAAGTCTAAGGACATTTACTTTGAGACTTCTAGTGCAGGATCCTATTGGTGTGAATGGAAGTAATTGAGGTATGGGTTTGGAATTGGCAGTATCTTACCTGATTTTGAGAATTTTATTTTTTTCCCCTTCCGTTTCAGTGACTGGACCACTTTCAGAACAGCAGATTGCCTATGTTAGCAGAGAAACACTACAGGTAGTGTGTTCTCAGGTTCTTGTGGTTGACTTTTAATGTAAAAGTATTAAAAGCTAAAAATAAAAGCTACAAATGTGTGTGATGCCATGGAAGTACAATGATTGGATGGCTTAGCATTTTTCTTAGACTTTTCAGGAGGTCCTGTAGCGTAGAACTGATATGTATAATTGCATAACCTCAAATTATCTCGGATCATTTGAAGAAAATTGTCATCATCTTTCTGCTGTTAATTATTTTTAAAAGGGGGAAAGCAGCATATTTATTAATCCTACTTGTGGTACAAATTAGTTATTGGAAGTTTGAAGGAAAATTTAAAGACTCAGTTTTGCATATGTGATAGTTGATCTTTGCCAAAAAGAAAAAAAAAATTACCTGTGTACTTGAGATGTTCAAGTTAAGGTCACCAGCCTCTCCTAATGGGTATGCTAGCTTTCGTTTTCCTTTCCTAAATTAAATGTTCAGTTCACCAGTAAAACTTAATCAGAAACGGCATCTGGTGGGTGTCTTGCTTCCATGTGAGAGAGCAGTTCTTGGCTTCTAGTGAATGCAAATCTCTTGAATGCCAT